AAAGATCGAAGATGTCGATCAGTATAATTATAAAATTTCTCATCAAAAATGTAATTATTGTGGAAGTAATATTGTAAACTTGATTGAGCGATTGAAAAATCATTTATTAAAATGCCGAAAACTTACAAAGTATATAAAAAATTCATTATGCTCAAAAATGCAAGAAAATATCTTAGGTTTAGACTCAGAAGAGGATTCGTTTGATTATAATGATGCAAATAAAGCACTAGCAAGGTTTTTTATTCAGCTGGAATTGCTTTTATAGCAATTGAAAACCCTTTTTAGCTAGAATTTTTGAAGATCATACAACCAACTTATACTAGCCCAAATCGTCGAAATCTGGCAAATAATTTATTAGATGAGAAGTATCAGTCAGAACAACAAGTTTTAGATATGATGTTGAAAAATACATCGAATATTACATTGGTATCGGATGGATGGTCAAATATTCGGCAAGAATCAGTCTTGAATTTTATACTTTGGCTTCCCAAGCCTGTATTCTATAACGCTAAGTATACAGGTTCTGATTCATATACATCCGAATATATCTATCATGAACTTAAATCTGTTTTAGAAGATATTGGACCATCTAAATTTGCGAGTATTATTACTAATAATTGCAATATGATGCGGGCTGCTTGGAGACAATTAAATCAGGATTATCCTAACTTAATTTGTCTAGGATGTAATGCTCATATTGTAAATCTCTTGATTAAGGATATTCTTAAACTTGAGCGAATAGATAACTTAATGACACAAGCAAAACAGATCATTAATTTTTTTCATTCACATCATAAAGAGGAGGCAATTTTACTAAGTCAACCAAATGCAATTAATTTAGTTCAACCAGTTGATATGTGTTGGGGATCTTGTTTAGCTACAATTAAATCTCTTTTGAGAAACAAATTAGGGCTTCAAATGTCAGTTGTGCAACTTGAGATTAGTAAAAAAATTAATCATGATCTTAGAGAACAAATTTTGGGCAATTCATTATGGGAAAATCTAGATAGACTAGTCTTTTTTTTAGAGCCATTTGTTAGGCTAATATCTATATTTGAATCGGATACACTTTTATTTTCTCACATATATCATGAATGGCAAAAACTTCAGGAATCGGTTATTGCCCAAAACTTGAATTCAGATTTTAAATTGCATATTGATACTTTAATTGATAACCGGTTTGAATTTGCTTTTCACCCAGCGATAGCTATTGCAAATCTCCTGGACCCAAAGTAATATACATGTGTGTGTAAATTTTATATAATTATTATAATTACTAATGCTTATATAAAATTTATATTTTAGTTTTTGCAGCAAATCATTGAAGTCTAATGATCTCGAATTAATTATTGTGCCATATCTTGAGAAAATTTATACGTTTGAATTGGCAGCACATATAAAAATTACTATAAATATATATGCTTTATTAATTGTTATAAATAATTTTATTTAATACCTATTTTTATTTTATACTAATAGATTTATGGAGTAATCCAGAAATATATTACCAAGACCAATGAATTTTCAAGAGTTTTACTTTGGGCTTCCATTAAGCACTCAAATCCGATTAGTTGGTGGAAGTCAAACTTTACAAACAAATTCCCTATTGTAGTTGAACTTGCATGTTGAGTTCTTTTGATTCCAGTCTCTTCAGCAGCTGCTGAACGCAATTGGTCTAATTTTGAGTACATTCATAATAAGAATCGTGCATGCTTAAATAATGATCGGGTTAAAAAACTTGTTACTACCTATCAAAATTTAAGGATTCAAAAAGAAATTAGTGATGATCAATGGTTTGAAGAGAATGAGTAAACATTTAATAAAGCATAGGATATATGCATAACGAAAAAATTTTTTTAAAAAAGATTTTATCAAATTATTTTTTTAGAAAAAAAATTCTTTATATTACGAGTATGTGCATCTTGCAGAGTTTTTTTTGCAAAAATAAATTTATTTAATGCTGAAGTATAATTCTAATAAATTTCATGATTAAAGTTTTTTTGCGTTTAATAAATAATTTTGTTTTCCAATTGGCTATTTAAAAAATTTTTTTAAAAAAGCAAAAGAATGCAATCGCCTCACTAAATTAACCAATCATATACGGTAGTTTCAATTCAAGCCATCAGCCGCACAATCACCAATGTTTTAAAACATGTTTTAAAACAACTTAAAAAACATTAAAAAACATTAAAAAACATTAAAAAACGTTTTTTTGCCATCCTTAGAAGGAACGTACCCGATCCAAAATGAATCCAACACACGGTGTGATCAATTAAAATTAAAATTATTTATTTTAGTTTTGATTTATCTGGGATTCACTTTGGATCGGATACGTTCCCTCCTGTTGCTGGGCATGAGTTTACGTTGTTCTTCAGAACGGTCAAAATTATATTTACAGTTGGGAATGATTGAGTGACGAAAATGGAAAACCTGTAAATCATTTCACTCATTGAGTGAGATGATTTGCAGGTTTTCCCTTTTCGTCACTCAATTATATCAGTAAGTTGACAGGCAGGTGGTGTTTTATTTTCTAAAATATTTGCCTGCTCATCTTCATCTTGTGATTTATATTCTCTTTCGCTTTATTATTAGTTGACTTACGTTTGCGACGAGTCTGTTTCACTTTTTCGATAAGCTAACTGTTCTTCATTTATTGAACTTTTTCGTTTCTTTATCTTACAACTATTTGCGCAGGTGCATAAGATCTTTTTTTTAACCCAAATAAAAAAAGAATGTAACCAAAGCCTTCTTTTATTTATTCGAAATACTTGCTTATGACACGATAACATATTTATGATGATATAATATATAGTTGTTGGATGCGAAGCAGCAAATAACGGAAATTATTTGTATTATCTGGCTGAGTAGCATTCAATAACGGTATTATCCAGTATCTCCGTTATTTGAATATGATGAAATCATCATCAAAATAACTGTTGATACGATCATAGTAAAGTTGCCAGGTAATTCTTATTCCTAACTGATAAACTACTTATTATTAAGATTTATGACGATATTCGATACAGAGTAATTCTTATTTTCTAACTGACAAATTATTTTTTTATTAAGTCAGTTTATATATTCTAACGTTGATACTAATTTAGGCTCAATTCTGGTTATTGACCTAAAATTTGCGTCTGGGCGAAGCAGGAGCCGGACATTTTCGAAAATTCGGCGGAGCAGCACTGTAATACATGAAATGCTTTTACATCGCTTCCCTCAGTTCCAGCTAATTAATAACCTTTAAATAAGTCAGGAAATCAAATTTTCGACTATGCAATTGCTTATTGTTATGCTGAATTTACCTTGTTGATACAAAAATTACATTTAATTGGTTTATTAAATCAATTCACAGTAGTGCTAGGATCTAAATAAACTCTTTAAAAGATAACGGATAAAAGATGGGCATTTAAAAAAAATTTAATAACAATATAAACGGATAAGTATAAGATATTGGTCATGCAGCGATTAATATCATCTCATGATGATTTACGAGTCGTGGTTGGCTAACTGAGTTTTAATTTGGTATTGTTGTGCTTACAACAAAAAATTTATAATCATAAGAGTTTGCACGATAATATCTGGATAAGTTCTGAATTGATTAATGGATTAAAAAACTTATCCTTATTACGCGGGTCTTATGTAACGACCCGTGCTTTATAATTGGGTTATTGGCATGGGATTGTACGTCAAACGTGAAATAATGTAGTTATTCACTACATACCCTTACAATAACTATAATGTACTCAAGCCCATTTCATTGACAGTTTATTCATTTCACACACAACAACGACTAAGGTTATATTGTCGGTGAAATAGCGGTCAGTAAAATGATCTGTCTATGAAGCATAAACTATACAGAAAATAAACTTGTCTATGTCTATGAACGATAGTCTACGAAGTGAGCAGCACATATTTATTTTTAATTAGTGCACAATGTCAGTTTCATAGTTAAAACTTCCAGTTGTATAATCAAACAAATCATCAATTATCTGGTTGACTACAGTCAAACTTCATCAGTTTAGCAAAATAAGTCTCATACAGAAATTATTTCTTTGTTATAAATTAATATAAAACCTAAGCAGCATTGGTTTCTTGAAATTGCAATTTATAATGTAGCATGCTAAAGTTTCTTTTATAAAAACATCATGCGACTTTGTTCATAATCATAAAATTAAATAGCCAAGCCATCAGTCTCCAACGCGTACCATTCTGGTACACATTGTCTAGGTACTTTGTACAGTCGCCCTGGTCGATTTGTCGATTCGTCCAGTTTATGACAAAGGTTTTAGATTTGAATATCATAGACTTTTTTGCATAAAATTTTTTTTTGTTTACAGTAAGCCACCAGCAGACGTAAGTTATTGTGATAAAACTAAACTCTTTGTATTTCTAATTTTGCTTTTAAGGTATTATTTACATAACACTGCATAATCTGCAACAATCGCAATACTATTTTGGGGATTTGCTAAAGTCATATTGTGCAGGTTATTTTCTTGACATTCTAAAATGCTATTTATATAAAAATAATCAAAAAGGGTAATGCTAAACGCATCAAGAATGTAACTTCTGTTTAACCTGCCTTATGATCCTAAATTAGGTAATACGTAATTAATCTTTATTTACGATCCACAATATATGTAACACAAAGTGAATCGATTAAAATCTTAATATTGTGTTGATGATAGCATATTATTTAATATAACAATTGTCAACTGTAAACCATGAAAATGCATTGTTTCTTGACTGTATTGAAAGTCAAGTTTGTTTCACCACTTGCATTTATTTATTTTCACTTTCGTTTCTGTTAGCTCTTTTTAAAAAATCGGTGCGTTCTTAACTTTTATGCGTGGTTCGCATATAGAAATTCTTGTCGTGCTGTGATCTTGTTCCTAATATTATTAAGTATTTTATCTTGATGGTTAAATACTTGTCATAATATCAAATTTTCCTTTATTACAAATTACATATATAATACTATAGAAATAAGCACAATAAATATGGAAGAAAAGTATCCTTACAATATAGAACATATAACAAGAGATTCAACTTTCTCTAATGTTAGTTCAAATACATTGATTGACGAAGCTACTACTTCTTTTCATAAAGAAAATAATGGAAAATTAATTTCAACAATATCTACTATATCATCGGATACAACTACCGATTTTCAATCTCGTCATGTTAATTTAGGTAGATCCGAAAAACTAATTGATGAGAAAAATAATTTACAAAATAATCCGATAATATGTATAAATGACACACCGACTTCGAATATCGACGAGCCACAAATATGTATAGATCCAAAAAAGTCGATTTATACTCCAGTCCAAAAGCCTCCACTAGCTACCACACAAACTTCTTTTTTTCATATCTTTCGTTTCGCATCACCATTCGATTTCTTTCTTATGGCTTTTGCTATGTTTTTCAGTCTGTTACGAGGTTTAATAATTCCATTAATGACCATCTTATTGGGTGATATATTTAATTCATTCACAGAACAACAACTTGGAACAATAACTAATCAAATATTCATTCAAAAAATTAATTTTTCTGTGCTGGAATTCACAATACTTGGAGTTTGTGCTTTTTTCTTTACTGCTTTGATGACTACTTTATGGAGTTGGACTGCTGAACGACAAGGAAAACGTATGAAAGATGTTTACTTTAGATCTTTATTAAAAATGCAAATCGATTATTTTGAAGCTCCCGATATTACTTCTGGAGGTCTCTTAACTAGTGTTAACAAGTAAGTTATTATTTCTCAATTATTCGTAAACTAAACAAATATATACTAACTATTAATTTTCTTATGCTTATTTAACTAATTCAATTTTTTTTTTTAGAGATACTGAAGATGTTCAAAATGTTATATCTGAACATATGGGGCTTTTTATACAGTACACTGTGACCTCTCTAAGCTGTCTTATCCTTGCGTTTACCAAAAGTGCCGTTCTTTCTCTCGTAATATTGGCGTCTATGCCTTTAGTCTTTGTCACGTTAGCCTTTACTTCTGCTAAAGCAAATCCATTGATATCTAAAGAACGTGAAATATTTGTAAAAGCTGGTAATGTTCTCGAAAATGGTTTATCAGCCATCAAAACCGTCAAGGCATTTAACGGTGAATCAAAAGAAGAAAAAAAACAAATGGATTACTTACAAGAAGCGAATAATGTTTCGGCAAGTCTTGCTTGGATTTACGCTATAAGAACAGGAATGGTTCAATTTCTTATACTTTCATTATTTGTTCAAGGATTTTGGTTCGGTTCAATCTTAGTTTCAGAGAAAAAACTTGCCCCAGGTGATGTTTTAAGTATTTTCTACGCTAGTTTGCTCGGTGCTAGTGTACTTAAAGAAATATTACCTAAATTAGCATCAATAGCAAAAGCGAAAGATGCTATCAGGCATATAAACATTTTATTAGAAAAAGTGGCTCTCATGGATTTGAAAGCATTGAGAGGTTTTACATTAACAGAAATAAAAGGAAATATTGAATTTAATGAAGTTAGTTTTTCATATCCAACTCGTCCTGACGCTTATGTAATGAGAAATATAAATTTATCAATACCAGCAGGACAAACAACTGTATTAGTTGGTCAAAGTGGATCTGGAAAATCAACTGTGGTTCAATTAATTCAAAGATTATATGAACCAAGTGAAGGTATTATAACTCTTGATGAACGTGAACTTAGAATATTAAATATTTCATGGCTTAGACAACAAATTGGTGTAGTATCTCAAGAGCCAGTACTTTTTGATGATACTATATTCCAAAACGTAGCTTATGGTAGACCTGATTATTGGAATGTTTCTATGGATGAAGTTATTGCTGCTTGTAAAACTGCATGTATACATGAATTTATTGAAGAACTTCCTGAAGGATATCAAACTCGTTTGGGTGATAAAGCAAGGAAGCTTTCTGGTGGTCAACGTCAGAGATTAGCTATCGCTCGTGCTTTAATTAAAAACCCTGCTATTCTTATCCTTGGTAAGTAAACATTTTTAAGTATTAAGTTACTCCACATATTCTAAATCATTAATCAAACATATTTATTATATGCATCTATCAACAGACGAAGCATCGAGTGCGCTTGACATGACTTCTGATTCTATGGTACAAAAAGCGCTTCAAAACAGTCGTGTAGGTCGAACTACAATTGTAATTACTCATCAACTATCTCATATATCAGAAACAGATTTTGTTTACGTATTACATGAAGGTGAAGTGGTAGAAAGTGGCAAACCGGCTGAACTTCTTAAAAATCCTAAAGGACATTATTCAAAACTAGCCGAAGAATCATTAGCAAAACCTAATCCTAAAAGACAAACTCCTCAATTAGATCTTATTAATATGAAATTACAACGTTCTGATACGTTATTAATGACTAATAAAAATAAGGATCAAAATTCTAATTTTCTTGCCGTTGATAATATTTCAACAGCATCACTTTTAAAACGATCAGTAAGCATGACTTCACAAGTTGGGTGGAGAACTTCACGACAATCTTTTTACGATGAAAGTCTTGATACCAATGTAATAGATGTTCTTAATGGTACAGCTTTAGCAGCAATTTCAAAGCGTAATGAAAATCGAATTTCATATTTTGGTATTCTAAGTTATTATGAACAAATTGAAGATGAAAGTGTAATTGAAATTTTGACTACCAAAGATAATGATTCATCAAATGAAAAAGAAAAACAACGTATTAGTTTCATAAAAATGATTAGGGATACAATGCAACATAGAATTTTATATTCCATTGGTATATTCGCTTCTCTTATTAATGGATTTATTATGCCAATATTTTCATTTGTTCTTGCTAGTTTGCTCAATACTTATGCTATTCCAGATAAATTATTGCTTCAACAAGAAGCTAAAATGTTTGCATTAATTGTATTAGGAATAGCAGTTGTAAATGGAATTTCTGCTCATTATAAATATTATTTACTTGAAAGAGCTTCGGAACAATGGGCGACTCAATTACGTCATTTAGGATTTGGAAAAGTATTGAGACAACCTCAATCATGGTTTGATGAACCAGATCATGCAGTTGGAAAAACCGTAACAATACTTGTTAATGACACTGATACAACAAAACATTTAATTGGACATTTTATAGGAAATATGACATATGGACTTGTCTCATTATTTGGAGGAATGATTTGGGCTTTTGCTATCGGATGGCAATTAACTTTAGTAGGATTTGGTTTGGTTCCTATATTACTTTGTGCATCAGAATTACAAGCATACGTTTTACAAAAATATGAAAAAAGACAAAAAGCAGCAAATGAAGAAGCTGCAAATTTATTTTATCAAACAGTTTCTAGTATTAGAACAGTATTTGCTCTTGCAGTTGAAAAGGCAATGGAAGAAAAGTTTCAAGATGCACTTGAAGTTCCATTTCAAATCGGTGTTCGTAAAGCATTAATTTGTGGACTTACATCAGGACTTTTAGAATCATTTAATTATTTTTCAAAAGCTATGACATTTTGGTATGGTGCACAATTAGTATCTCAAGGAATTTATGATTTAAAAACGATGTTACAAGTTTGGACATTGGTTATTTTTTGTACTACTGCTGCTTCACAAATGTTAGCAGCTATTCCATATTTTGCTAAAAGTAAACAAGCTGGAAAATCAGTTGCAAGAATACTTAGTTTATCTGAAGAAGATACAATGTCCGGAAAGAAACTTGATAATATGAAAGGAAATATTGAATTTAGAAATATTCATTTTTCATATCCTGGACGACCAAATGCAAAAATATTGGATGGATTAAATTTAGAATTTCAACCGGGTGAATCAATAGCATTAGTTGGAAGAAGTGGAAATGGAAAATCTACTGTAGCCGCATTACTTCAAAGATTTTATGATCCAAATGAAGGAACAATATTATTAGATAATGAACCATTGAACACTATTCAACTTAATTGGCTTAGAGAACAGATAGGAATAGTTAGCCAAGAACCAATACTTTTTGATATGACAGTAAAGGAAAATATAACATATGGAAAAGAAGATGCTACAATTGAAGAGATTGAAAATGCTGCTAGACAAGTTAATATGCACGATTTCATAAAAACATTGCCAAATGGATATGAGACAAAATTAGGAAGTAGTGGAACTCAATTATCAGGTGGACAAAAACAAAGAATTTCAATAGCTAGAGTTCTAATAAGAAATCCAAAGATCTTAATATTAGATGAAGCTACAAGTGCTTTAGATGCTCAAAATGAACAAGTTATACAAGATACTTTAAGTCGAGTACAAAAAAATAGAACAACATTAGTTATAACGCACCGGTTAAACAATGTTAAAAATATGGATAAAATAGCACTTGTTGAGTCTGGTCAAATCGTTGAAATTGGAACACATCGTGAATTGATGTCACTAAAGAAAAAATATTTTGAATTAGCTGTTAGTGGTAATAGTTAAAATAAACACTCTAACTATTTATAATAATTAATAACAGAATAACAATCACAAAAAAAAACTGTTTACTAAATTTTTGTATAATGTAATTTTTTTATTTTTTTTTATTATTTTTTTCTCGGGAGAGTTGGTAACATAGGAATTGGATTTTTTTTATTTTATTTGTACTTATAGTCGTTTCGCTTTCATTATTTAATTTAAAGACATTAAAAATTGAATTTTTAATTTCTGTTTACAATTTTTATTGATGATAAATAAGGAATGATAAAAATTGATCAGATTGATTTGAATAGCATAATACAATGATTTAGCATAACCTCTTAATAAAATAATTATTATTATTGCACTCTTGCAATTAACATGTTTAAAACACAAAAAAATGATAAATACCGTCTTTATTACTTTATTGTCTTAGAAGATATTAAAAGTTTAAGCAAAATTGGTCTATCAAAAAGGCTATATTGGATAGGAATGATAGAAAATGAAACGATATATGCAATTTGTCGAGTGATTTCGCGATATAACGATTCTGGTTTCTCATCAAAACAATAGCCCAGAAATTCGTCTGGTTGACTAGTGTGAGCCCTAAAATCGGTCCTACTGTTATCACGGTCACACGTGATCGATCGTCGAATTAAGGTCCCGTCCCCTACCCGAGTAATTGGTCACATAAAAAGTAAAAGAAATTTTACTTTCTTACTTTTATTACTTCGGGTAGATCAACGGCATAAAGAATAATCATTTCTTCTTTATGATAGTAGGGATAAGGGATTTTATGATGATATAGTGCAAATGAATAATGTAGAGGAAATTAACATCAAATGTAAATAATACTTTTATTACAAATAAAGGGTTTCTCGCCTAGGGGATGAATAAGAAGCGATACCCTAAGTACATACATTTGCATAATAAAACTGAGTACCCGTCACTTAATAAAAGTGAAACTATAACCCAATCCAAACTAATAAACTATTATTAACCTCATCGTTATCACTATCATTCGCTCATAAGCCACTAAACCGCAAAGTGTTCGCTCGTCGTAAGCCACGTGACCAGTGCGTTAACATAAGAGAAGAGTTCTAACCCCGGTTCGATGAAGTGTAATCCCTGGTTGAGGCAGTAAATAGAAGACAAGAGAATGCAAGGTTAGTAGAAGAATGGTTAAAGGAAAGACTTAAAGAGGAGACTAGTATTTACCTACGAAAGAACCCACCAGCCAAATATAACATGCCTGTTTTGACTTAGCCACTGTAGGTTACGTGAGAATTGGAAGAGACTAGTCAAATTACTGAATGACAGCATAGAAGAAATTCATATTTTCATGGAAAATTACAGGTTATAATATTTATATGATTGGTTAATTTTTGTAGATCCAAGCATGATTATTAACCAATCAAATTAATTAAAAAATCTTTCGATATGTGAAATAAAAACAACATAAATTTATCATTAATGAAAGTGAAACTTTTTCAATACTAAAGTTATTCTATTCTATTTTTTAACCACTATATTTTATTAAAAACATGTTATTATATCTGATATGTTACTACTTTTGGTTTAAACTACTGTGATTAGACTACACTATCGTATATACTATATTAGAGATCTTAGTTTTCTTTTCTATTTAATAAATAATACATATATATATCTTGATTTGGGTAAAATAGATCTTGCTAAAAGTTTGATATTACTTGGCCTGTTTAATAAATACATAAAATTTTATATTAATAACACTCATGGTTTAGCAATTTGTGAATCTAATACACATTTGTTTAATAATTTAAATATAGTAAAAACTCAATAACTACTAATACCAAATGTTCTACCTTTATTTTTATGAAAACTTTTTAAGGAAAATGATTGAAAATGATCGAAAAAGATTTTCTGTTAAAGACACAGTAAATAAATTTTATTAATTGATCAAAGTATATTTAGTATGAAACTTGTGATTAAACAGATCGTGAAAATTTCAGTTTTTAGACTACTATTATATATCAATTTTTTAATTGCCCATATAAATAACTTGTGTAATCATGATTTCAGAATCTATCGAATATGAGTTTCTTTTATGATCTGAACAACACTAGCAGGGACAATAATTTTCTGCAAAATGCATAATACTGCAGAATTTATGTTATTTTGCAGAAATTCTGCAATTTTAAAATATCAAAAAAAAATTAATATTTTTATTTATTAAAGTATATCATATTTAATGTTTTAAACAAAGTTTCAGAAAGATTTTATCTATTCTAGCTAAAATATTGTTATAGGTGAAAGCCTTCTTAATTTTCACACTATAACGATGACACGGCACAGGGAATCCCTTACGGGTATA